TCCAGAACTGTTTAAAGTGGTTACAGTAACCCAAGTTTACCACAGGAAGTCATTTTTACTTCATTTCTACATAATGCACCTTTAACTAAACCAATAGGAGGGAGCTCCTATTGGATAATTACTGCATGGGTGATTATTTTTAAGCTGGCTACAAGTTATTTAACCCCAACTGGTGCAATGAGCTGCTTCTCGTTTCCTAAACATGCAGGTGGAAAGACACATCTGGTGGTCGTGGAAGAGATGTTAGTCTGTGTGAGAAGGATCAGATCATCAGCATGCATCAAGAGAAAACATCTAAGGAGGTGCAGAAATGACAAAACTGGGTTGAGAACTGTCCAACACGTATTAAGTCATCCCCATCAAAGCGGCCAACACAAAACTAGTGTGACCTTTTTTTTGTGGCCTTTTAATTTTGACCTGGCAGTGAATTTCCTGAGGAGACGTTTTGTCCAACTCAAGGAATTTTTTTTGTTTGTTTTTCCAGCATAAAAAGCTGGTTTAGGTGACAGCTTGTATATTAGTTTTAAAACATTCAAAACATCATTTAGGTTCACTTCCAATAAGGAAAACTTTATTTTTTGCTTTTTATTTCTTTACTTAAAATTTTATTTATATTTATTTATTTTAACTTTAAAGATCAGAAATTGTGATCAGACTACTCTAACATAATCTGAGCAGTGGGAAGGAGGAGTGTTAAATGTCCACTCTTTGTTGGTCTCCCCAAAAAACTCCTTCATAAACTGCAACTGGTCCAGAATTCAGCAGCCCGTATTATCACCAGAACCCCTTCCTTTCACCACATCACACCGGTTCTCCAGCAGCTTCACTGGCTCCCAGTTAAATTCAGGTCCATCTTCAAAATTCTCCTCCATACCTTCAAAGCAATCCACAACCTCTCTCCTCCATATATCTCAGACCTTATAAGTATTCACACCCCATCCCGTTCTCTCAGATCTTCTTCCATCCATCTTGCGGTTCCTTCTGCCCGTCTCGCTACCATGGGGAGAAGAGCTTTCAGCCGCTCTGCTCCTCATCTCTGGAACTCACTTCCACCAGACATCAGGAACATCGACAGTTTTACCCTTTTCAAAACAAAACACACATGTTTAAATCTGCCTACAACCTCTCATTTTATTGAACTGTTTCTATCTTTGTTTTTTTTTTTCTTGTTTGGGTTTTATTATTGTTTTATTGTATTTTATTAAGTGTTTTCTGTCAAGTGACCTTGGGTGTTCTGAAAGGTGCTTTTAAATAAAATGTATTATTATTATTATTATTACTCTACTTTGGTCATTTCCGAGTGTCTGGCTGAAGTGAGGGCTAGAACACGTTTTACTGGTGAGCTTGGTTCCGCTAGCCTGGTAAGCCCGGCCGATACAAAGATGTGGGGGAACTCTGCAGTTGTCTTTCAAACTGTGTCTGAATGCAACTGGACAGTGCAAGGACCAATCACAGCAATGGACAACACAACGTTTTCATCACAAGGGAAATCAGTCCAAAGGGCGGTCCAACATACACAGATGAAGAAAAAGGAAAAGAAACAACTATATGTCCTTTTCTGAATAAATGGCCTAAAGAGCAAGTTGTTGTTAGCCAACCAGAGACGAGATGTCCAAATATCAGCAAATAAGACTCCAAATCTCGTTGTCTGAAGCTACTTTCTCTTCAGGCTGACTTCTACGTCCTTGGACAGGAGCATCACTCAGTCCTAGAGATCATTGCAAATGATGAGTAAAGTCGATCTTTAAGTATTTCTGTCTGCTCATGTCTCAGAGAAAAACCCAAGTCAAAACAACCAAAAGTAAATGCACAAGGCATTTCAAACAAGCACCGTTCCTGAGCTGCCACCATCTTTGTAGTTTTTACTATGGCAGCTCTGGTGCTAAGACCACTCAGCATCTCTCTACAAACAAAGACAATTTATAACTCCCTCCTAATTATTGTTTATATTTTACTGGTATTCTAATTATTGCTGGGTTGAGTTCACAAAGGTAATCTGACCAGTTTTAAAAAAAATATATGCATATATCATGATGGTGTGCTATGATCCACCCTCTACTCCCACTGGTTTTCCTAAGGTTGAGTCATGGAGGTAACTGGTCCAGAATGAAAACCCAGACCTTCCTCTCCATTGTTACACTCCTCCAGGGGAATCCCAAGATATCCCCAGACCAAAGAGGCTATTCTTATGTATCCCTCCAGGGAGTTATGGGTCTACTCTATTCTGAGCTCCTTGGGATGACGGAACTCCTCACCATTCCATAAACGCTCAGTGCAACCACCACATGGAGGAGGATCAATTCAGCCATTATCTGGAATCAGTGCTAAGCTGTCAGTAATCACCAAATATGGTTTTCTTTCTATTTCCTGCACCACAGAGGTGCTGTGCTACACCCTGATCACATATCAGCCATGTTGGCCGATGACCTCACTAAACCACAAGTCCATGTCCTGGTGCGACTGTATCAGGGTGCAGCTGTGTTCTAGAAGATCCCATAGACCTGGCACGAGTCCTGCATCTAATCCTTCATAATCAAATCTTACCTGGATGTAGACTGTGGTCAAAACCATCATCGTCTCAACGCGCTTCAGCATAAAAATGGTAAAAGGCCTGTTTTTGAGTCCTAAACCCCCCAAGGCACTTTACAACACAGTCATTCACCCATTCACACACACACATTCAGACCCTGGTGGTGATGAGCTGCATTGTAACCACAGCTGCCCTGGGACACACTGACAGAGGCGAGGCTGCCGTGCACAGACACTGGTCCCTCCAAACACCACTTGCCGGCAAGGTGGGTTAAGTGTCTTGCCCAAGGACACAACAACAGCGACAGACTGAGCGAGGCTCGAACCTGCAACCTTCTGACTATGGGCCGAGCACTTAACTCCTGTGCCACCATCACCCCACAAGCGTGAATAATGGAAGCCCACTCACTATCAGTGTCTGGAATTTTAATTTCCTAAGGATGTCTTAAGGGGGCTTTGAAATGGACTCAACATTGTCCGTCCATCCATATTCAGCCGCTTATCCAGGGTCGTGTCACGGAGCAGCAGCCTAACCAGGGAGGCCCAGACTTCCCTCTCTCCAGCCACTTGGGCCAACGCCTCCGGGTGAATCCCAAGGCGTTCCCTGGCCAGGCGAGAGACGTAGTCCCTCCACCGTGTCCTGGGTCTACCTTTAGGTCTTCTACCGGTTGGACGTGCCTGGAAACCCTCACCTCTGAGGAATCCCAGAGGCATCCTAGCTAAATGCCCGAGCCACCTCAACTGGCTCCCCTCAATGTGGAGGAGCAACCATAGACTGTACATATACTGGACAATTCGATTCCATAGGCTTCAATAACACGTTATCTGTCCATAATGGGAGGTGTCCACCACCGCCATTTTGACCGTGTCACAGGTTCCGTCCAGCCCAGACAATTCCATAAAAGGGAAGAGAGGAGGCGCTGAGGGTGTGGCTGTAAGGCTGGGCTCGAGTGACGACACCCAGGCGAACTAGCTACGAGCTAACCTGAAGCTAACCCTGGCTAACCCAAAGCTAAAGCGGAGGTGGGAGCCGAGCTAACGGATGTAGCCACCTAGCTTCAACCCAACCGGAGCTAACTGGAACACCCATCGACCTGAACCTTACACGGAGTTTAGGTGGAGGTTTTCTGCGCCTGTTCGTGAGAAGTACCTGTATTAAAAAAGTTTTAAATCGGTAAGTTTATAATTTATTTCCGTAATGAAAACATTTTGCTTTGAGCAAGTTTTCAGTAGTTTTTTTTGGCGCTATCACTCCTGAGTCGCACCAGCCATTAAATGTATCATGAAGAAGAGAAAATATATTTAAGTCGTATTTTGGGGGGGCATTTTATTATCTTTCTTACAAAATCTGAGACCAAGCGTTTCACATTGCAACACAAGCACCGGTAACCATAACAGAATTTACAGCCAGCAGAGGAGAGGATGGCGGTGTTTCAAACCCTCCCGGCCGGCGTGTAGAGCTCATTCCTGGGCTGGAGCCGGCCCTCAGCACCCCGCCACAGGCTCTAACAGATGCTGGCGGTGTTCATATATTTCCAAAACGTAATACTTGTTTGTATCTTGTACAGCCAACTAGCCTTTATTCTGGACTCAGTACAATTTACCAAAAGTAAAGAGACATTATACAGATGAAGTAAGCACAAGATAACTTACTGGAAGACACAGAGTTATCATCAGAACCAGAACAAGAGAGCCTGATAACAGTCATGTGAAAATAACAGTTAAAAAGTATGTATGTATAATAGAAATAAAAATATATTAGAATTAGTGTAACTCACTGTGATCCAAACAAATCAGCCATAGCTGATGAGTAAATATGACATGAGGTCTGGGAGTTTTTAAGTTTCATTCTTTTATTACATTTTTTTCTTAGATCTATTAAAAGGTCACCATGGCAGCCTGTGTGTCTCCAACGTCAGCTACACAACGCAGCGTGTAAGTTCCAAGTACTTGTTTTGACCACTTCATGAATGGTTTTGTACTTTAAACAGCTAGGCCAAACCTGTTATTTTTTCCTCCATAGCCATTTGGATCATTGGAGACAGCTGAGTGAGGCGTGGTGCCCAGAGAGCTGCAGAGACAACCTTGGCCTCCCTGACGTCTGTGTCTCTTGGTTTGGTTGGGGCGGACCATCGACATACATACATGTGCCGACACTTTGCGCCCTGTTTTATAAACTGTAGTGTTAAAAATAAATGTTTTTGCTCAATTACTGGAATTTCTTTGGTTAAGACAAAAGTGAGGAATAATCATTTACAAGTTATTTGTACAACAGGCCCATTTTAAATCCCAACAGTTTCTTAGCAGACAATAGAAATGTGTTCTTTACTAACTTTACTTGGTTTGAAAATCTTACTAAAATAAACTTGAGTGCCGTATTGCAAAACCCAATCATACTTGTTATGTAAACATTAGCTTTGTAGATATTTTTTACAGATATATATTTGTGTGCAACAAAAACCAAACTTAAATAATTTGTCATTCTTTATTGAAAAACAACAAAATACAGGTATACAGAAGTGTGGGAAAATGATAATGTGAAAGTATTGCACTATAAATGAAGTGAGATGAGATGAAGGTGAGATGAAGGTGGACGCCAGCGGGCTGGACGCCGGACGAAGAAACCTGGAGACGGATCGCTCAGACAGGAAGGGAAGAGCTTCCTCTTACCTTGATGGAATTAAAGTTAGCCGTCGTCTGAACGCCCAACCGTACGGTCTGAGGTCAAAGGTCACAGGAAACACACACCAGTCAGCAGTCATACAGATGCATAAAGATAACTAGCCATGGCAACCAGCTGACATGTCCCCACTTTCACCAAAACCTGGTGCCTGCCGGGTCACCTGAATTCCTGTGTGATGTCAGCACGGTCGGCCGTGACTGCTGCCATCAGAGGTGACCTCTGATCAGCTGAATGAACTCACCTTCCAGGGTGACGCCGTGTTAGAGTCGGCTTCATCCTGTAAACAAACAAATGAGTGGTAACATAAACACCACGTCTGGTTCTGGTGGAGGCGGAGGACAACACGCACCTTTCCAGGAGCAGAACCCAGATGTTCTTGTTGCTACAAACAGAGACGAGCAGAGTTAAACCAGGAAGTGAGAGGGACCAGCTGCTGCAGACAGGTGACGCTCACCTGAGCCTGAACCATAGGAGCCTCCTCAGCCATCAGACCTTCTGACTCCAGTTCAGATGCCACCTTGTTGATGTCCCTCAGGCGGGACTCGTTGGCCTTCAGGTCCTGCAGGACAAAAGCACCTGCTGATCACCTTGTTGCTGTCGGGTTAACAGGTCTGGTGTTAGAACGTGGTGGATAAGAATGTTCTGACGGGCCGAGGGTTCTGAACTCACCCTGCAGGACTGGGCCTGCTCCTTCAGGGCCTGGATGCTGCTGCCGTAAGCCGACAGGTCCGACATCAGGGCCTCGTGCTTCTTCAGGAGAGCCTGTGGAGCAGAACATCAGAACCTTCAGCTCGTCTGACACAAGTGGAGCTTTCTCGCAGCGATGGTCCAATCGGATCCGCCACCGTAAAACAAACCCTGCTCAGTTCACCGCAGACGTAGCTCTGCGGGTGTTTAGTGGAAAAGCGTGAGCCTTCTGCCGGCTGCCACGTGTCATGGCTGCTCTGCAGCGGGAACACACATCACAGCTTGTAAACCGTTTGAAATAAGAGCGACGGGAACACGTTTGTCATCACTTCCTGTGCGAGGCCAGCACTTCTACCCCTAACCCATGAGACGCTTAAACGAGCAACGACGTCTGGTAGACAACCGAAGGAAATGCCAAATACAGAAACACTAATTATGAAGGACTGGAAAGAGAGCAAAGAAAAGCGATTGGAGTTTCTCAGGAAGGGACTTCCATACCTCGGCCAAGTCCTCGTCTTTCCCTTAGTCTGGACTTCCAACGATGGGCTCCTTCTCCCTCATCCAGGACTCGGCCTCATTAGCATCCGCAAAGTACTGCTGGGCCTGCAGAGAGTCCTCCAGGTCCTGCCTCCTCTGGGACGCCTTGGCCTTCAGCGTGTCCCAACGTCCATGAAGCTCCCACAGTTTAGTCTTCACTTCCTCACCAGCGAAGTGACCTGGACCCAAAAAAAGTGAGCCAGAACCTGCAGACACCTCAGAAACATGTCAGGACCAGACCTGCTCTACCTTCTTCCACCATGGTCTCTCCTTTCTGGGTGACAGCCTTGATGCGAGGTTCATGACCTGTGATCTCAGCCTGCAGAGCCTGGTGCTTCTTCAGCAGGTTCTGGACACCAATCAGGTCCTTCCCTTAGGACACATGTTAGAGTTCAGCATTATGCAGTAGACAGACCAGTTTAACCCAGGGCTTTCTTTCTTCTACAATCTGCTCTTTAACTGTATTATTTCCTGCTATTTCAGCTGTTAACTTTATTTTTTCTCTAAGTGTTTTTCTCCCCAGAAGAAGCTACAATGACGTTCTGCTGAGCTGTGGTGGCCTCATGGAGGGGGCCATCGGCTAGCACACTGCTGCTAACCACTTAAACATTCTCCCTCTCCTGATAGTAACATTTTACTTTCTTTGATGTTGGATGTGCTACTACTAGTTTACCCGTTTAATTATAGATTCACTAGGATAAATACAATAAAGTTTATCTCTTGCCAAATAGAATATTTACTGTGGCGAGCCCGTGAAGAGGTGTAGGAGAATGCGACAAATTTGTCTGTTAAAAAGTCTGTTATGTACAAAAACACAATATCATCACACTATTTTGGACCGATACATGACGGTCAGGTCCAGCTTGGGGAGAAAATATGACACGTCTTTCAGGATGGACTTCATCTTTGGTAGCTGGCGAAGCCGGGAAAAGCAGGATCTAACCACCTGGCTAATGTGGGAGTCCATCCGCATCTCTGGGTCCAAAACCACCCCCCGGTTAGTGATGGTTGGTTTCACTAAGCTGCAAAAACAGGGTTGCAGGACAGGACTAACTGCAGTGGGAGAGGGAGGAACAAATATTCCAGTTATAAATATTAAATATTTGAACAAATAAATATTTGTTAAAAGGAAGAAACTGATGATGACTTTAAGATTAGAGGAATGTTCTAGAACGGGTCTGGAACCAACGATGGCCCTTTGGATCAAATTTGGATTAAAAAAATAGCTCATGATTTTATTTATGGATGGAATAAAAATACAGGTTGTAAGCATCTTCTCAGTATCTTCATGTTGCACGACTTTCCACAGCAGAAGGACACAAAAACTGCCAGAATTATGATTAGAAAGATTTACGTTTTAATCTCAGAATCCCAACTTTTCCCAGAATCTTCACATTATTCTATGAATTCAGAGAAAATATACATTTTTCAGAGGTCTCGCTCCCCTGTTGTGGATATTTCTCAAAATTCAACCATTTTTTCTTTTTAAAAGCTTTAGTAAGAGTTTGGACTCTAAACAAGTTTTACTTTGCAGACTGCTTGTCTAAACCTTCATCAGATCTGCTCATAATAAAACATTTGGGTTATATTTAATGCCCAGGAAGATGCTCTTCCTGGGCATTAAGTTATCAAAAACAGATAAAATTATTTTTTACCATAATTTTAACTGCTATCAGGTGATAAAAATAATAAAAAACAGCCTGATCATTAAAGGGGTGTAAGTGAAACCGCGCGGATCACACAAACCATCATGCTGTCTATATGACTTTGAAAATATATAGTTTAATTACAGTTTGATTTATTTGACATCTGTATAATGTTTATTATTTTGTTTTTTCCCCCTAAATGCCTAACGTTTCAGTTTAACATGAATATTAGTCATTCATCACAATACATAAAGTTACACATTTTAAATTTTAATAGGGGAAGACTGCAGGAGGGAGCGGTAAAATACAGAAATCCCCAGCAAAAACAAGAAACTTTACGAGTCTGATGAAACCCGCTGGAGTTCCTTCAGCAGGCCTGGTGGCAGCTACAACGGCCCAGTGGCTGTGCTTGGTCAATGTTATCGAGCTCAGTCCGGCTCGGCCGTGAACGAGCCGAGGCGACATCCTGCTCTGCTTAAGAAGAGGTGTTATTTTCCGCTTCAGAAGAAGCGTCCGTGTTTTACGCTTTCTCAGAGACATGTCACGTTGCTAAGTTGTTAGCGCCGCGCGCTAACACGTCAATAGTGCAGCATAGCCTGCTGGAGGGTTCAGATGAAAACACCCTACCACTCAGGCTGCTTACACATCGATATTAAGTTGTCGCTGTTGCGCTCACGCCGTAATACAGTATTAGATGCGGTTAAAGTCAGACATGAAAAACTCCACGAGCGGTCAGACCGCGCAGCAGCTAGGCGCAGCAAGTAGGCGCCGGATCGGTCAGGCTGCCCGGCCTGACCGCTGGGGATTACCGGATGGAAGAATGGACACAGAAGTCTCCCTCTTAGCGCTCCGTCATATTTCAACCCATTTTTATCTTAAATGCACTGGGTTTTACCCTATTACCCATCTAAATATGCCCTATTAATTATTTTACCGTATTTTACATTTAAATTTCATGGTTAAACAGTACATGCTACATGTTAAACTGATAGTTAGCTAGCTACTTCGGTAAACTCAGCTAGTTTAAAGGTAGCAGTGACATAAAATACGAATATAGATTTTAACTTACCGAAAAAAATGAAGTGGAGACTCCTTGGACGCTCTATTAGTGCAATTAATACCACTGCAAGTCATTTTGTCCAACAATTGCACCAATAATATCCAAAGAAGAATACACAAACACAGAGACTCAAAATGCCGGAGCAGTTTCCAAGCCAGACCGAGGCTGTACTGAGGCCTTTCCACGGAGCTAGCTCTGTGGTCACGTGGGTCTGAGGCGGCGGTCACGTGTGTCGGATGCTCATTAATTATACAGAATTTTAGGCTTTCAATACACTTAAACAGAAGAGTGAGAAAAAAATTCACCCCCCTCAGAGTTGTCATGAGTATAAACTAGATAATTTAGACAAAAAACATGTTTTGGCACCAGGCTGTAAACATGTTTATTTCTGCTGTGAAATCGGCATTTTTAACATGGGAGTCAATGAGGATTTGCTCGCTTCTGATACCAGCCCCCAGCGGATGAGGGTGGAACTGCAATTTTTCTTACTTCCGGGATGGGACCATTTTCTGAGCGGCATTGTGGGGGCTTGGGAGCAACGGGTCTACTCCGAGCCCCTCCCAGATGGCAGAGCTTCTCACCCGATCTCTAAGTCACCCTGCGGAGAAAACGCATTTCGGCCGTTAGTATTCACGATCTCGCTCACCATAGGTGAGGGTAGGAACATAGATCTTCCGGCTCAGCTGTCTCTTCACCACGTCAGATCGGTACAACGCCCGCATCACTGCTTACCCCACTGGGGGCAGGACCTCATCCCTGACCTGAAGAAGGCCTTCTACCCTTTTCCGACTCAACATTATGCAACATAGATATTGATTTCAGTATTATTTTCTATTTTTCCACAATATCATGTCATTCTTCCATTGGGTAGGTTCCCTGTCCAACCCTGCTGTGTTTCTTTTACAAGCAAGGTAAGGTTTTTTTTTTGGTAACAAAGAGAGGAAAAGAAACATCTTGAAAATGGTGACGGGGTCTGATTTAGACACCGAGTCTAACCCAATGGTTTTGAATGCCCAACCATGTTTTTCAGCTGTCTCAACAACACTAAATAGTGACTGAAAATAACAGTGAAGTTTAAGCCAGACAGTTTTGTTTTAAGGTCTTTTCAAAAGCACAGGTTCAGAACCACGATGCAAACTAGAGGCAGAAGTGGCGATGGTGTTAGCGCCTTTGTTTGGAAAGTGACTTGGGAAGGGGAACCAAGGAAGCAGGGAAATTGAGAAGTAAGGCAGAGGAACAGGAACGAGTCACACCTTTGTCTCTGATTTCCCAGTTGTGTCTGCAGCTTTGCCTTGGCTCTTCTATTCCACACTCCAGAGAAAGTCACATAACTGAGGAACCCATGACATATGATACTTATGCAGATAAGTGCAGTGATAGGTGTTGGCTCATTCGAGCCCCAGAACACCTGCAACAAATAAACAGGAACTCATCTAGCATCCATGATGTTTCTGTTGGAAGGCAAGCTGGTGAAAACATCAGACAGAAGCACGCTGAAGATCCAGAGCCGTGTCCCAGACATGGATTAATAATGAAGAGGGAATGCTACGTCTGGTGATGGTCCAAAGAACAAATCAAACCCACAATTTGCACGACACAAACCGGAGGGAGAGAGGAGACTGTCTCAACCCCCTCCCCTACACCATCCACCCTGTCTGAGTTCAGCTGTGAGTGGCTGTATACCCCAACACACAGATATGCAGTCCTACCTCTCTGAACCCCCTCTGGCAGAGCTCTTACCCCTGCTGCTGTGGTTTTACCGAGCCACTGACTCCGTCACTCTGCCTGTTTTTCTGCGCTCTGCTCGGCCCCGGCTGCTGCTGCCGCACACCTCCCACTGAGGAGTCAGCTGAGCTACGCACAACCAGAGGAAACTCGACGTAAACAGAGAAGAGCTGAATCTGTTCAGATACCCGTAAGATTACACACCACCTATCTGCCTGCATGAGTGCAATTTAACGCTTGAATATTGACGTAAAACAAACTACAACCACCTCTGGAGAAACAGGTTAGTTCTGACCAAATGAGCGGTTAGGTTACAAAGCAGAAACCTTCATAGTGGTTATTGTGCTTGCTCAAGACATCTCCAGACGTGTTTTACATATTCTAGTTCCATGGAGCTCTTTGGGTAATTGTAGAAGAAACTAGCAGCAGAGCTTCTGTGGCCCTCCTGGTTCAGCGAGTTATTCTGCAAGCAGAAAGTCATAAATGATCTACCAAAATTAAATATGCTGTAGCTGTTTTCATGAAGTTCTTCACACTTTTTAGATTAATGTCGTTTCAGGATGACAAAAATTATTTTTGTTTCTCCAAGCTGAGGTAAGATATTCAGTTTTCATGACCTTGTCTCGGAAATCCACTTCAAAACATTCTACCCCCACTTTAAGGACATCTGAAATTCAATAATGATTTTATTTGAATACAAAACTGTTGTATTTAGCTAATTCAAGCAAAAATGTTAATAATGTGCTGCTTTGACTCCTCTAAAAAATCAACATGATGGAAGTCAATAAAATGACATAAATAGGTTTCACTGTTGATATTTTTGTTTTAGTCGTTTACCGATAAAAAAAACACAGATCAACATTTAATATGCATGTGTCTACAGTAGATTCATCTGCAGCACCTTGTCTAGCCACAAACACGTCATGTGAAAAACATGCATGCACAGACGGGCAGACAGACAGACAGACAGACAGACAGACAGACAGACAGACAGACTTGCTTGTCAGCTTTGCTGGAGGGCTTTTGGCTGCCTGCTACTAAAAAAGCCCATCCCCCTCTGAGGTCTGTCTGAGAGAGGGGGAAGGGGAATCATAACGTCTGCACCCCAGCAAGGAGCACAACATGATGGCATAGAATAGAATAGAATAGAATAGAATAGAATAGAATAGAATAGAAAATGGAATAATAGAACCTTTCAAGCAATTAGACACACCCTGATTGTCAGAAACACGATTTTTGTGTTTTTAAGATTTTGAGCAGGAATCTTAATCCTCTTAAATAATAACTGTCCACCCATTCCTGTTTTTGTTTTATTTAACGTTAAATAACACACCAATTAAACATTTCTTGTCGAGCTCACACATAATAACCTGGTCTTCACCTCCTTTCTTTCTGCAAAGGACACGAACCTACTTCTCTTTAATGGGTTCCAGCTATGCTGTCCAAATTTGCATCACTCTATGCCACAGATTAGTTATTTACGCTGACGACTGTTCAGTTTGTTTCTATTTGATGCTAAAAGAAATGATGACACACATATAAAAGCTCCAGAGATGTTATCTTGTACAGCTGGGCCAGGCCGCATGGTGACAAGTCTCAGGTCAACAATCTGCCCCGTGACACAGACCTACTGCTTGTGTGTGTGTGTGTGTGTGTGTGTGTGTGTGTGTGTGTGTGTGTGTGTGTGTGTGTGTGTGTGTGTGTGTGTGTGTGTGTGTGTTTAGTTTTTTCTGCTTATACTCTATGTAAGAACAGATGAAAAATATGTTATAAGGATGTTGTAAAGCCTGTAATAACCTGTCAGGATGAATAAGATGAAATCTCCTCTATTTTATGTTTCATTTCAACAATAAGTGTTTCAGTCAATTTCACATATTAGATATCAGAGGCTGATTTCTCAAAATCAGGACTTGTTACTGGCTGCTGTGACTCTTTCACACACTGGAGTTTTCTGTCAGCTGGTATTGTTTCCCAAATAAAACTGAATAAATTCTGCAGAACTAAGATTAATAAAACAAAATTAATGACACTTTTAATGCATATTGATGATTTCCTGGAAGTTTTGTTGACCTTTCAATTCATCTTTTATATTGCATGTGATTTATCACCGACTTCTTTACACAGTTAAATAAGGCTGGTACTACTAATATTATTACTTTTAATAATAATAATCAGCACAAATGAAGTAAAAGGTTTCAGTTCCAGCTGATATTTATTTCCTTCCTTGAAAAAAGTTCTGTACACAAGTTTGTATCAACAATCTGACAGGCAGTGAATGGACACAATTTAGCTGGCATGAGTCGTTGTCACCCCCCCTACCCTCCTCTGAGTCTCAAATAAAAACAGAAAAGAACCAAAGAAAGGATGGTAACTTTGTTAATGGCATGATTAGAGACAATAAATGATAATTCTACACAGCATATTGCACAGGATGGATGAAAAATAAAGTTAATATATTTAAAAATGCTTTCATATATCTATATATAAAAAACAGTCAGAACTGACCACCTTAAATGTAAGTAAGGATGTGTAGAAGATAGCAGTTCTAAACAGTGCCTGTCCTCGGTAGCAACGACGTACATAAACACACAATCTTTTTGCTTTATGGTACAGTCAAATATACAAAGATCAAGTTCATGTTTCCACATTTTTCTCCTTTTTTTTCTCCTTTTGTTGAAAAAACACAACAGCTAATAACCTGAATCTGAAATACAAATGCTATTCACCATGCCATAAAGATACTAAAACAATTAGCTAGTAGTTAGCTGACAAGTAGAAAAGATTATATATTCAAATACAATGAGAAACGCAGTACTAAGTAGGCGTTGCGCAACTCAGGTCAGAAATTTGAATCATGTTGTCATCTTTGTTGTTTGCAGCAGCCCCATGGAGCGCGGAGGCTGCAGGAGGCGAAAACGTGATATCAGTGAACGAAAACACCAGCGAGTCAAATTTAAATCTTCTAATTGTTGTCACAGGCAAAGACGATTAGACGTGAAATGCAAAAAAAAAAAAAAGAAAAAAGCAGGTGGCTGTTCTGCAACAGTAAAGCCCCACATGGTGCACAGGAGCAGCCTCTGAAAACGAGCTGTTCCTGTGTCTTTAAGAAACCTGCAGTCTGGAGCTGTAAACGCTGAGGGGGCTGATAGGAAAAAGAACCGCTGCTGCTTTCAAGTGCTGTCGGAAAAAAACGTAATTGCATCCTAATAACGTATGACACGTCTGTGCTGCAGATGTTCAGGGACTGGACATCAAAGAAGTCTTGAGAGTAATTGCTGGTAACATTTGCAGAAAGTTTTCTCTCTTTTTGTGAAGTTAAACACAAATTACACACCTGATTCATATTAGCTCTTTTTAACTGTCAAAAAAGTGGCAAGGTGCCTTTGATTTAAAAAAGAAAGAAGGAAAAACATCAAACAATAGGCACCACAGTGTTAAAAGGTCTGTTCTGCTGCTTGTCCTCAAAAAACAGGCAACAGAGCTTGTTAATACGAGCTTACCATGAGCACTTGAAGGCAGCATGACAACCAGCCTGCCAGGGTATTAAAAACAAGGAAATCCAATACAGCTGTATTAGTAGGCTACACACCGATTCTTGACTCCCCCCTTTTTTATATAGATTTGTACAAAAATACACTGAGAAAATAATCAAACCGATTCCTCTCTTTCAAGTGTCCAAAAGTGTGTACATTTAAATATAAAAAAGAAATGAAAAAGTTGTGTTTTTAAACTCTAGCCCTTCGCCTGAGAAGGAAATGTGACAGACACAGACATACTGACAAACAACCGGCGTCAGAAATCAAAATCAGGACTAGATCTGGCGTACGAGAAATAAAAAAACGTCCCAGTATATAAATACAACATCCCATAGAAAATGGCATCATGTAGAAAACAAAGCTCTGAGGGTGGAGAAGGGGAAGTCACCGGTGGGTTCTCTATAGCTATTGGAGAGTTTTGGTCCTGATAAACACACAGAGAGAAAATCTGTACAGTTCAGCAAAGACTTGCAGCTGAATCCTGAAAAATTACAACAGCTGGTGATTATTTCAAAGTCCTTTTCTTCCGTCGACAAAAACAGAAAAAGGAGAACCAAAGCGAGTGGCACCGATCCATTTAAATAACCCTAATACTAGTAATAACAGCCTCACAGAAAGTCTCAGCACAGGAACAAAGTAGGCTATCATGCTTTTAACAGGTTTACTTTTTTTATTTTTTGTTTTTTTTTTTTTTTTGCTTTTGAGAAAATAACAGACTTAAAAAACATAAACCCACCTCGGTTTCTATTTTTTGTGTATTTTTTAGAAAAGCCTCCTGATGGCACCACAATAAAAAATGACGCGCGTCAGTCCCATTTCTGTACCTTTTCGGAGGTGAAGTTCACTTGGCGATTGGTAGAAAGTTGTGAAATGTCCCTTTTGTCTTTTTTCTTTCAAAAATCAGCAACAACATTGATTAAGAGAAGTGCGGTAACGTGCAAATCAATCACAGTTTAGTTCTTTTGACTTGGAACCAGTCCAGGACCTGGCTGTCTGCATCTCTGGCCTCCTTTGTTTTTATTTTTTTATTTTTGCACTGCTTCAACTTGTGGTTGTACCGAATCCCTCCGTGCACAGAAAGTGAAGACCAAGTGGTTTTCTTGATAGCTTGAGCTTCCAGAGACCTGCAGCTCTTAGGGGGGGGCAACTGGGGGGCAAACTCGAACCGTCTGCCCCCGCCGCGTCGCAGGAACCCCTATTTCTTTTGGCCGTCATGTTCGGTCTCAGGTTAACTTCTCAGTACGTGAAAACCAAGTTGGAGATGGTGGACTCCAGCCAGTCCCCGGAAATCATTTCGCTGACTTCAGGCGTGCAGTAGTCGGGGAACTCGAAGTGCGACCCCCCGGAGATGGACTCGCCGTTCAAGTCCCAGTCCCTGTCCAGCACCGAGGAGCCGAATCCCCCCAGCGGCATGCTGCTCGCGGCGCTGGGGCTCGGGTTGATGTCGAGCAGCTCGTCCTCGAACTCCTCATCCTCCGAAGAAGAGGAGGAAGAGGAGCAGGAGCGGGAGGACACGCAGGAGTGAGAGCCGGAGGGAGTGGGGGAGGAAGCCCGCCGGCTGCTGGTGTATGCGTGGCCGCCGAAGCTGCCGCTGCTGCCGGGAGAGTCTGCGCCCTCCTCCCTGCCGCTGGCCGCGTCCTCGTAGAGGCTGAGCGGCTCGTTGGACTCGGCCGAGCTGCTGAGTGTCGGGCTGGCTGGGACTACCACGGAGGACATGGGGCTGACGCTCAGGCTGGCCGCGCTGCTGCCGAACATGTACACCCGCTTGGGCTTCTTGCCCTCCGGTATCTGCCTCGCTGCTGAAGAGGCGGACTTGGACTTGTAGAGGGAGTTGTGGTGGGGTTCAGACGGGTCCGAGGCGAACAGGGATGCTTTGGTGCTGCTGCTGCTGCCGAAGAGTGGTTTTTGGGGTTTGCTGCTGCTGCTGGGTGATTTGGATCCACTCTTCCTCGAAGATGAGGACGTCTTGGTGCTGGTGCTGCTGCTAACTTTCTCCCCCCTGTCGCTGCTGCTGCTGCCGGGCTTGGATGCGCTCGATTTGACCTTCTTTCTGGGCCGGTACTTGTAGTCGGGATAGTCCGCCATGTGCTTGAGCCGGAGCCGCTCCGCCTCTCGGATGAAGGGGATCTTGTCGCTGTCTCGGAGCAGCTTCCAGCGCTTCCCCAGCCGCTTGGAGATCTCCGCGTTGTGCATGTCCGGAGACTGCTCCATAATCTTCCTCCTCTCTATCTGGGACCACACCATGAACGCGTTCATAGGTCTCTTGATGTGACCGCTGGGAGTTTTACACCATGCCGGGTTGTCTCCCAACTTCTCGCCGGCTGTGGAGGAGGCTGTGGAGCCCGGGGAGAGAGGCGATGCGGCCGGGTCCAGATCCATGCACGCCCCGGAGTCAGAACTGGAATCCCCGGCGAAGAAGGACAGCGCCTCGGCGGTGCTCTCTGTGTGGCTCATTTTCTGCACCATGCTGTCCACTTTTACGCACGCACACACAGAGGGAGAGCGGGGTTAGTTGCACTGTATCACCCTCTCTCCTTTGGTCCTCTGGTTGACTTTAAAGCAAACTCAGCTCTTTTCTCCCACGCTGACGCACGGAGCTGAACGCAAACAGAAATATGCACTCCCGAGATGCGCAGGGAACAACTTCAGCCTGAAAAAAGGCTAGATGCATAGAAAAGTTTTACTCCCAGGTTGGATTGGTGGTAAAAGCAGCAGATCTCGTCTGCTACTCGGTAATCGCGTTCTCAGTCTGTTTCCCTAGTGTTAGAAACCCAGCAGAGTCGTGTGATGACAGAACATAGCCTCTGCGGCTTCAGAGCGCCTGGGTGCCACGCTGCGCTCTCAGGCACCTCCACACAAGTTAAAGTCAGGGCTCTGTCTCCTCTCCTGTGCTGGGGTAAGAACAGGGGAGAGAGGAAAAATAGATGAAGCTAAAGCGAGTCACACTGCCCGCCTTCCATCTGCAAGTCGCGTTTCAAGCACCCCTTCAGACTCTGGCCCCCCTAGCCTGCATTTATCCCTTCCTGATACAACGGTGATAAAAATCCACCAATCACTTGCTGTCGCTACCCTGCCTCTGCTCGTAGACCACGCCCACTCGCAGCCTATTGGTTAAAAATGGAATCTAATAATAATCAGCGCGTGCAATGAGAAGCCTCGTGTCTGACCTCATTCCAGAATACAACAAGAAACTTGAATTTTTTTAAAGAGACGCTGGATAATGTTATGAACACTCTCCTGCCCATGTGGCTGCCATTAACACACAAGCTGCCTATGAGGGGAGTCAATCAGAGCCCCAGCTCGAGATATGGCAAGTCAAATAGACACATTTAAAGAAATGTAGGAGCTTTTATCACACTTAAAGACAGGAAGGTTGTGAATGGTGAATAAACCAGCGCAGTTTCATTCATGATAAATAAACACATTTTAATTATCTTCTTATTGTTTTTATTATCCTGATATATATTTTTTTAATTATCTAAAACATATTTGGTAGTTGCTTATCTACAGGTGGCCATTACCACACTCATAAATGATCCACGTGCTGTTACAATGTTCAACAGTTGCGCCTCTGGCGCACAAACAGGGAAATATCTCCTGGACACATCAGGATGGTTGAGCTGGTGTGAGAGGAGCCTGCCAGCCGAGCTCCTTTAACCCTCCATCCTCCTCCTCCTCCTCTTCTCTGAGGCGGGACTGGGCGGTTCTTTTTGTCACATAACCAACCCCTCTCTCTAGCACAGCAGAGAAAAGTGAGGGCAGTGGGAGCAGCGTGCGTAAAGCTGCCTCAGCAGAGAGCACAAACATCCGCACACCTCTAAACTTGCACGGAGAGCAGCTTTCCGTGAAGAAACAAACAAGAGCAGGTGGAGAAATGCACACGGAGCCGTCTTTACGCACGGGGGAAAGACAGGACCATCTTTACGCGGGGGGGGGGGGGGATGCGCTTAAGCAATTAGGATCAAAGTTGTGTTCACTAAATAATTGTTTTAAAGTTGCTAAATTAATTCATCACCGTTACTCAAAAACTATGACAGAATAGAGCGTTTAAAGTTCCCAATTTCTGAGACACATCTCCATGATCTAGTATAAATGTGCAGCAAGCCAGCAAAGGACAGAGCGAGAGAGAGAGCGAGAGAGAGAGAGAGAGAGAGAGAGAGAGCGAGAGAGAGAGAGAGCGAGAGAGCGAGAGAGAGAGAGCGAGAGCGAGAGCGAGAGAGAGAGAGAGAGAGGAGGAGGAGGAGGAGGAACGATAAAAGCAGACACGGTTGAATCCGCACCGCTAGATGGCGTCGCAGAGCCAGAAAGCAGCCTGGCTGGGCTGCAGAGGAGTTAAGGAGGGTAGCAAAGTTCAGCCAGAGCAGCGAGAGCAGTTAGCAGCAGTGAATTACATAACGACAGAGTGGCATCCAAGTGTGTGTGTGTGCGTGCGTGCGTGCGTGTGTGTGTGTGTGTGTGTGTGTGTGTGTGTGTGTGTGTGTGTGTGTGTGTGAGTGTGTGTGTGTGTGTGTGTGTGTGTGAAGGTAGAACAAGGTACGGCAAGCTGTGAAATTAACAGGAAAATTATAGCAATTTGGTGACTGCAGAATCAGCTCAGACTGAAATCATTCACCACTTTAATGACATCTGGTTATAAAGGAGCCGGCAAAACATGAATGAAATTGAATAAAGGCCCGGAAGATGGGATTCAGCAAAGTAGATGGTGAGATGTTCCTGAGAGAAGTTGAAATGGGCCACAAAAGGAGGAGTTGGGATAAACTCCAGTTGCCAGCATCTCTGGATGCATTTCACTAGCCACAATTATATTCAATAGAGCCTCATATCTGCTGTGCATCCAAGGAAAGCAGCGGGTAATTGGGCTCCAATTTGTGTGTTCATGGAGCAGAACTGCAGTGGAAATAAGAGTGTTAACTCAAAAGCTCACACTGCTCTGCAACGCCAATTAATAAGGAAATGCAGGAAAACGTGGATTATGAGTCGATCCTATAGAGAAGGGGCTACGCGTTGGTAATGGACCTAAAGATGGCGTCCTTTAGAGACGAGATTCTGCAGTTTAAAAGGAAATCACACCCACATGGGTGGAAAGTTAGAAAACACCTGCTCTAAGCACCTGGAAAGACAGGTGGTAGACCTACATGTAGGTCTGTTCGATTCTATTACAAATCCTAAATAAATATAACCTTTCACCTACTTTTGCCTACACGGATAACTTGAACACACACGTCTGTTGCTTGGCAGATTTCTCTTTATTTTTTTTCTCTCCCTCTTTTTTCTCTTTCTCACTGTTTGAATTAGCCTAAAACACACACACACACACACACACACACACACACACACACACACACCCTGAAAGGGTAAGAAGCGCATTCAAACTTTCCTCTCACTTTCTCCGTCTCATTCTTTTACTGCCATTGTTCCAGGGAGGTGCAGCTGCCACGCGAGTCGGAGTGGGTCGCGTGCCAACCCTAATCTCAACAGGTGTTCTTTTTGTGCCACCCCCACCCCTCACCCTTCTCTCCCCCAACGCCTCCTCCCACTTGCCCCTAACTTTTCTTTGTCTATCTTTAGTCTTTATCTTTCACTTCTCTCTTTTAGTTAACCCCCCCCCCCCCCCCGCCTTTATGTTCCCACTTTTTTTTTGAGTTGAGAAAAAAAAATCATCTAGGATTTCTGCAGCTCTTATAGGTTCAGTCATTTAGGTTTCAACATAAAGCGCGTGAGTGCAAGAAAAATTACAGTAAAGTTAAAGTTAAAGTTCTACTTTGTGTTTTGCTTCAATAAAAAAAATCACATTTCTGCAGATAAAATCACCTGGAGCAAAGGCAACATTTCCTCCAGTAAAATGCAGTCTGTAGAACTGCAGAGGCTTTTATTTTGATAAGGCATCTTTCAAACTGTCACATCTTGTCTGGTAACTGTTGTCCATGAGAGGACCAACCGCCACACTCAGGTTTTTAACATCCACATATTAAAAACTAATCATTTACTATGAAAAAAATATGTTTGTTTTACTCATATTGATTCAGATAGGGTGTGCATTTCTTCAGTCTTCACATGTATTTATTTTTATTTCACATTTACCTGTAATTGGTTATTTAATGCTTTGAGAAGATGACACAGCAGCACCTGTAAACAGGAGGTGTGGACTTCACGTTGCTGTGGTGTAGGTTTGTTATGCTATTTTCTCTGAATGTGACTGGGCCTTTCCACAGGACATGTAAGCGTAGCGTAGCGTAAATGTAGTCCAGCACGCAGTTAGTCGCCGTTCTAGTGGATTGCGTGTTTTCACCAGACAGGAAGCTTATGCTTTCAGTCATCTCTTTTGACATGCTACGGTTCCAGCTCAGCGGTTCGGATTGGTCCAGACAGGAAGTCAAACTCAAAAGCAATGTAAAACATCCAGAAACTTTCAAAGTAAAAGTCATATTCAGATTTGCTTAACTAGTACCAAAAGTGCGTCAGTACCTGTGAAATCTCCGTAGCTGAGGTAAACTGAACAGAAAATACACCACACAGCTTTTTGGACACATGCTGCCATCTTTGTCTTTGCTATCGTGTGAAATGATCAAATCACACGTGGTGCTGCAAATCACCTGTGATTTGGTGACCTTGCAGAACCAGCTGCTGTTTCACACCTGAAACGCTCCCAGGGGGGAGGGTGCTTGGGCAAAATGCGTCTATTACGTTACGAGCCGCTTACGCATCCGGTGGAAAGCCGGGGTTAGGTGCTGTGTGACCCGACATGTTCTACATACTCAACGACCAAGTTCCTCCAGTGCACACGGGCCTCGTGTCGTTCTCCACGATGACAAACCAGTATCATCTCACTACGGTCGTGTCTAAACGACTCAAGTCCTCCTACAGACTGAAGTACTTTAGCAACTCTCTCCACATCTCTGCTCATTACTTCCTATGTGTACTACCTCTCCTTCTCTGCTGTCTCCTCCTTTCCGCTCCGTTTAGATCTGTTTGCTTTATTGGCATGAACACTGGATGAGGAATGCTGCCAAATCCCCCCCCCCCCCCCCCCCCCCCGATCTCCCTTTTCTTTTCTCTCCCCATCTCCGATAAATCCGATCTGAGGTCATCTGTTATTCAGAACACTGACACCATATGGTCCGCCACCCACTCAGAGTACATCCAGTCAGTTTCATGAAAACTTAAAATCTTCCCATATTTAAATATTAATGGAGGTGTATGCTGACCAGCTGTCACATACACTACTTAGAGTTTAGCCTGTGCAAACTTTGACTCCTAACAGTAGTCGATTCATTACCGACATGCTGATCTTTAATACGTGAGTGAGGCAGCTTGTTACGAGAGATTTTGGTTTGCATATAAAGGAGTAATTATGCAGCTGGCGTAAAAGTAGAAATAACTAATAAAGTGATATTTTAAGCATAAAAGTTGATGAGCAGCAAACAGCCTTTGCCACAGGTTCGACGGCATTGCAAATAAAACACATTTACCTTCAGGCGGTTGCTTGGTCAGACCCTTTAAATAAGAGCGAGCCGATGCACCGAGGAGTCAGGGAAGAGGCTGTTGCTTTCCAGCCATGAAAACGGGCGAGGAACTCTTTCATTTTCACGACTTTTAACAATGCAGATGCATTCATTGATTTGCGAAGTTTATTTTTAACATCTGTAATTACTTTCAGGCAAACACGTGGAATACCAAACACCGTCTTCGCACTAAATAGAATGCATGAAGATGGAAGTCTGTGTGGTTGTTTTGCAGCAGCTTGATGCTGGCTATGAAGGCTAAACAGTAGATCTGATACTGAGTATGTGAGACCGACTGGACATACAGGTGAAACTGGAAAAATTAGAATATGGTGCAATGGTGGCACAGTGGTTAGCACTGTTGCCTCACAGCACGAAGGTTGCAGGTTCGAAATCCGGCTTGGCTGCGGCCTTTCTCCGTGGAGTTGCGTGTTCTCCCCATGCACGCGTGGGTTTCCTCCGGGTACTCCGGTTTCCCCCACAGAGCACAACATGCCCTACAGGTTATAAATTGTAAGACGCTTTGGATAAAAGCGTCTGCTAAATGAATAAACATAAACATAAAAGTTCATTTATGTCAGTAATTCAGTTTAAAAGATTAAACTAATTTATTAGATGGACTCATTACATGCAAAGCCATAACCCAGGCCTGTTGTGTTATGTTTGTGAAGAATGTGTCTTA